AATCCAAAAAGAAAAAAAATTAAAAAAAAAAAAAAAAAAAAAGGCGCGGAGGCCAGAACAGCAGCAGCGGCGGCGGCAACAACAACAACAAAACCCTGCATGGGGGGCCCTTGCAAAAATTCCTCCTGAATTAATTTCTGCCAGCTATGATTAAAGTGTGCGGTACTAGATGTGTCAGACACCATAGTTCTCTGCTTCATTTTACTCTTGGCCTCTCTGTCCCCTGCCACAATAAATCGCACAATGGTTAGGCAGGAATTGCAGGTTACAGTTGCTACGGTTACCGTTGGCCGGTCGGCTCGACATCGCTGCTCAGCCAGCCAGCTCCCACCGGCGCGGGGAGGCCGAACGCTTTGCAGCGTTTGCGTTTGTGCCTTTTTAGCTGAAGGGTTTTTCCCTCCCCTCTTGGTAAAGGCAAAAGCAATCAGAGATGAGAATAAAACAGAAGTGGTATAAGATGGTAAAACAGAACTTTAAAAACATTTTTAAGCTGCTGTGTCTCCGTTCTGTTACGCTAGCTGTGTTTGCACCTTAAATTTATGATTTTGTTATATGCCTTTTAGCTGTAACTATGGCAAGCTACAGTAATAAATTGGCAGGTGAGATCATTTATGTTTAATAATCTGAATCCCTTGTAACAACTCAATGGAGAAATCTCTCTGTAGAATATGCTTGTTATCTTCAAGCCTCTGCAATCTTTTGTTCCAGCTGTAAACAGGTGGTTGTGGTTGTTAAAAATCCAGTGAGGAGCAAGAATGAGTTTCCCCTATTCAGAAGGCAATTATTAGTGAATCTCTCTGCTTTTGCAAGTATGTTGTTAAAGGAGCTGCTGATGGATGAGAGTAACTGGTAGGTTTCCGCTGTTTGTGCCGCAGTGGTACTACAGTATGCTGCACCTTATGGTGGAAGTGTGCTGGGTGTGCAACGGTTCTGTTTGTTAGAACATCAGAACTTCTACGTGAATTATGAATTTACCAAAATTTACCCTCTCTCTTCAATGATTGGTTTCATTTTTTTTATTATTTGTTTTGGTGCATTTTAGCAGTCTCCATACAATACATTTTGGTTTTTTTTTGTATAATAGATTTGAGTCTTTTAAAGGTAAAATTTTCTATGCATTCATCATGCTAATGTTAAGATTTCCTGTGGTATTCTACCACAGCAATTAATTTCAAATATAGGAATGTTTAAATTGTTTTATTTGAACAAATAACCAGCTCACAAATAGTAAAGTTGTTAGGTTTTAACAATTCTAGTATTAGTCCAGTTTTAATTACTGGAGGAGTTATACTAACATCATTTGTTAATAGTGACTGTAATTCTTAGAAAATGTATTTTTCAATTATTATTTAACAAAGAGATCTTGTAGAAAGTGTATGTGTAAAATAAGCGTACAATTTGGGTTTTCTGGTATTGTAACCCAGCAATTAAAAG